CTCTCCCTTCCCCTTCCCCCCCTCCTCCTGCCTCTCACTCTCTCTCTTTCTCTTCTCTCCCTCCTGCCTCTCACTCTCTCTCCCCTCTCCTCTGTCTCCATCAGGGATACACGCTCATCCAGGCCCCGCCCCCTGGCCATGTACGTCACCGCCCTGCCCCCCCTTCATCTCCAGCCATGGCGCTTGGCTGATTTCTGCGCCGTTTGGGCCCCGCGCTCCCCATGGAGCATGGGCCTCCCAGAGGGAACCATCAGCATTTCAGCAACAGCACCACCCAAAGGGAACAGCCAGCATTTCAGCGTTACAGAGTCACAGACATGGAGCTACTATATATATGATAATACCCCAACACTGGCCGCTCTGAGCATCTTTCCAATCCACCACCCTACTGCAGCACTAATCCGAGTCCCTCTTCCCAAGAATAGGACCTGAGGTGAGGATAGTGGGGACTATCCCCTCTCCTTGGTTCTTGGAGACAACCTGAGGTCAGGAAGGGGACAAAAGGAGGGGGACAAGAGGAAGCGGGGAGTTCTGTGGCTGGAAACAGCAGCTCCCAACCCAGCTTCCCAATTCCCTGGGATTCCTGGAATGGGGACCAGGGAAGGGAGGGACCAGTCAGTAGCTGCACAGGGTCTCTCCAGAGGGAGCGGCACCACAGGAGCCAGCTGCAGGGGGTGGTGGGGCAGAAGCTGAAGTGGGGGTGGCACATCAGGGAGTTGGCACCTGGGTCCATCCTTCAGCAGGCCCAGCTGACACCCAGTTCCAGAGGCAGCTCTGGGCACAAGCCCCCAGGCTGTGCCAAGGGGCCAAGGGGCCGCTTAGCTCCTGCAGCTGCCTCTGCGCCCTGCCTTGATCTCGTGCCCCTTTGGTCGCAGGGATTGTCTGCTTTGGTCCCCACGTGTCACAGCTCTTTACACCTCCCAGTCCCTGGTTCTCCAGCGGAGTCTGTGCACAGCTTGCGAAACGCAGCTCCCTCTGGGTCACCGGTTGTTGGACGTCATTGTCCCCAGACACTTGGATTCCATTGTCGTCTGGGATTCCCCACTGGTAGGGGGGGCCAGCCCTTGTTAATGACCCATTCAGTTCCAGGCAGCGTGGCCACACTCCCTCCCCCACCCATCTGTCCTTTAGCTGGCCCTTTCCCCGCACTGCAAAATACAAGGGAAACTGAGGCACACATAGAGTTAATCAAAATCTTTCAGAAAATTGGTTTTCCCTTCCCTCAGTCCCTGCCACCCCACACATCCTGGCTGGACAGTCACCTTCCTTGGCTTATTCCTTTCCTCCTCTATTTTTTCTTTTCATTTCTTTATTTAAAAGTAAACACCCCCCATCACTCAATGCCCCCAGCCACGCTGGAGCCTCCCCCCACAGGAGAGGAACGTCTCCCCAGTGGGCTGGGGGTGCAGAAATTGCTCTGATTAGCCCCTCATGAAAGAACGCGGCTCCCTCCCTGCCCCCGCACCCAGGGCCAGTGGCTCCCTGCATCAGCAGAACGGCAGGGCTGGAGCTGCTGGAGGCCAGAGCCAGCAGCTGCGAGATGCTTCCACCCTATTGTGGGCCTTTTGTCATCCCCCGGACAATGAAGCAAAGAGGATCAGGGTGGGGTAACTCTATAAAAGCCCTGTCCCCCCCAGCACCCCGCCCTCGCTGCCTCCAACAGATCCCCAAGAACACAATACAGCTGCAGAAAAAGCCGGAGTTAATCGACTGAACAACTTGTCAGCCCTCATTAGCCATGGCCTCTCCCACCGGCCACCACTGAAGGTAAATTACTTTAGTTCCTCTCTAACAGCTCTAATTTCTCCCTT